AAAACCTCTGAAGAGAAGCATGAATGTCCTTGAGGAGCTGAACATTTTGATAGCTGACAGTGTGCTGAAGTAGAAATTTCTCATTCAATTGAATGGGGCAAGATTTTCAAAATAAAGCTAAATATTTTAAAAGTGTGAAGTTTAGAAAACCTCTGAAGAGAAGCATGAATGTCCTTGAGGAGCTGAACATTTTGATAGCTGACAGTGTGCTGAAGTAGAAATTTCTCATTCAATTGAATGGGGCAAGATTTTCAAAATAAAGCTAAATATTTTAAAAGTGTGAAGTTTAGAAAACCTCTGAAGAGAAGCATGAATGTCCTTGAGGAGCTGAACATTTTGATAGCTGACAGTGTGCTGAAGTAGAAATTTCTCATTCAATTGAATGGGGCAAGATTTTCAAAATAAAGCTAAATATTTTAAAAGTGTGAAGTTTAGAAAACCTCTGAAGAGAAGCATGAATGTCCTTGAGGAGCTGAACATTTTGATAGCTGACAGTGTGCTGAAGTAGAAATTTCTCATTCAATTGAATGGGGCAAGATTTTCAAAATAAAGCTAAATATTTTAAAAGTGTGAAGTTTAGAAAACCTCTGAAGAGAAGCATGAATGTCCTTGAGGAGCTGAACATTTTGATAGCTGACAGTGTGCTGAAGTAGAAATTTCTCATTCAATTGAATGGGGCAAGATTTTCAAAATAAAGCTAAATATTTTAAAATTTTGAAGTTTAGAAAACTTCTGAAGAGAAGCATGAATGTCTTTGAAGAGCTGAACATTTAGATAGCTGAAATAGCTGAAAGTATGCTGAAGTAGAATTTTCCCTTTCATTTGAATGGGGCAAAATTTTGCTGAAAGACACTAAATAGTTTAAAAAGTAGAAAGGTTAGAAACAAGAAAAATATTAGCATAAATGTCCTTAAAAAGCTGAACATGTCGATACCTGAACGCTTTTCATAGCTGAAAGTATGCGGAAAAAATTAAGAATAAGAATAATAAAGACCAGGATAACATAATATGGATGCTGACTCAGCATCCATACAATAATAAAGACCAGGATAACATAGTATGGATGCTGCCTCAGCATCCATACAATTATGGACTGTAACTGTTGATTCATTTAATAGTTTGATTAGATACACAGTGTTTTTAATCCCAAAGTGAAACAGCAGTGCAGCAGCAGTCAAGACACAGAAAACATATAAACACATGTGGCTTGGGAGGAAGAGTGGGTCATTTCCTAGCCAGAGGGTTGGTGGTTCGATTCCCAGCTTCTCCAGTCCACCTGTCAAAGTGTCCTTGAGCAAAACAATGAACCTCAGGTTGCTCCTGGTGGCTTTCCTAGTGTGTGAAAGTGTGAGTGTGAATGGACAAATAGGGTGAAAGTTTTTTGAGCATGCTCAAATGCATAGAAAAGTGCCATACAAGTTCATTTACCACAAAAACAAATAGAAAGTCACTTTCAGCTTTTCCCGTTTAGGGGTCGCCACAGCGAATCGTCACACTGACGACTCGCATGTTGACATTTGGCACGTGTTTTACGCTAGATGCCCTTCCTGACGCAACCCTGATTCGACCCCGGGCCGCAGCGGCGAGAACACTGCGCCTTAACCACTAGCCTACCAAGGACAGCCTATTTACCACAAAAACAAATAATAATAGGATAATCACCTTTATTTGGCCAAGCATGTTACACACACAAGGAATTTGTTTCAGTACAGAACTGAGGCAGCCATCTGCGGCATCAACTCAACTGATGGCTCTAACCATCAGGGGCAACTTGGGGGTTCAGTGTCTTGGCCAAGGACACTTCAACATGTGGACTGCAGGCATCATGCTTTGAACCTCAAATCCTCTGGTTGGGAGACGACCGCTCTACCCACTCAATCATTGCAGCTCTAATTATTAGCTCAAGTAGTAATTTTATGTGTCATAACAAGATAATTCTTCAATATAAAAAATAGTTCAGCATCTTGGGAAATAGGCCTGTTCGCTTTCTTGCACAGAGTTTGATTGTATGCTAAAAATGATACTACATCCAGCAGCTGAACATAAAGACTAGATCCTGGTGGAAACAACTAGACTGCCTCTGTCCAAAAGTAACAAAATCCACCTACCAGAACCTTTTAAAGCTCACTAATTAACACAATATATCTCATTTGTTTTATCTGTACATGAAACAGAAATGCAAAACCAAACACCTTAGTTAAAATATAAATAATAGCGCACACACTAAATTTACACTTCCCAGAACAGAAACTACAATAAATGAGTTACAGAGCAAAGTGTTATATAGTAAAAGGGAAATGCTTAAAGCATCAGTATTTTCAGGCAGTAATTGTTTCCTCACTTTTCAGTTGTTTTCTTAAGGCAGTTCAAGTTGCAGAATACCCATGGTCCCTCTAGAACCTTCCCTTGAGACAGACAATAGCCCTGTATAGCCTGAAGGGAATATTAACATTTAGATGGTAACTCAATCAGGACACACAAGGGCTGTGGCCTTTCTCATAATTCAGTATCCATTCAACTTTCAGCCACTGCCTGTAAAAATATTGGGATGACTGATTGGAAAACAGATTACATTACATTACATTAGATTAGTTAACCACGCTGGAGAGTCTATGTCTCTCAGCTGGCCTCGGAATGCCTCAGTATTCCCCCGGAGGAGCTGGAGGAAGTGTCTGGAGAGAGGGAAGTCTGGGCATCTTTGCTTAGACTGCTGCCCCCGTGACCCGATTCCGGATAAGCGGAGGAAAATGGATGGATGGATGGATAGTTAACCTAAAACACCTTGTATATGGTTTAAATTCAGTGTTGCCTGAGGAAACTGTAGAAGCAGGGAGTGGCTGGAAACTAAAGTAGTTCACATAGACGTCAAAGCTGAATGCCTGGATACAAAGCATACTTTTTTTTTTTTGGCTAATGTGACATTGAGACAATAAGGACAGGATTGTTATATTGAGTATACTTATACTCACAGTACTTGCAATAAAACAGTACTGACAGGAACTCCTGGATGCCTTACATTTATCTTAACAAACTATGATGTTCATTACCCAAATTTATGTTGGATAACCAGAGTAAAAGACTTGGTCAATATTGTCAGGAAACACAGCATAAATTTCAATTGCTATGCAGATGATGCTCAGTTATATTTATCCACAAACCCAGATGAATCAGATGGATTGGTCCAAATTCAAACATGTCTTAAAGACATAAAGGCCTGGATGACCTGTAATTTCTTACTTCTAAACTCCAACAAAATCAAAGTTATTATACTTGGCCCTGAAAACCTTAGAAATATGCTATCTAACCATATAGTTACTCTAGATGACACTGGCCTCCGGTAATGCTGTGAGGAACCTTGGAGTCATTTTTGACCAGGATACGTCTTTTAAATCACACATAAACCAAATCTCTAGATCTGCCTTCTTTCACCTGCACAATATCATTAAAATCAGGAACATCATCTCTTAAAGTGACGCTGAAAAACTGGTCCATGCCACAAACCCAGATGAATCAGATGGATTGGTCCAAATTCAAACATGTCTTAAAGACATAAAGGCCTGGATGACCTGTAATTTCTTACTTCTAAACTCCAACAAAATCAAAGTTATTATACTTGGCCCTGAAAACCTTAGAAATATGCTATCTAACCATATAGTTACTCTAGATGACACTGGCCTCCGGTAATGCTGTGAGGAACCTTGGAGTCATTTTTGACCAGGATACGTCTTTTAAATCACACATAAACCAAATCTCTAGATCTGCCTTCTTTCACCTGCACAATATCATTAAAACTCTCAGAGTCAAGGTCTTCTTGTGGTTCATAGAGTCCACAGAAGTAGAATGGGAGGCAGAGCCTTTAGCTATCAAGCTCCTCTCCTGTGGAACCAGCTCCCAGTCTCAGTTTGGGGGGCAGGCACCCTCTCTGCCTTTAAGATTAAACTTCAGACATTCCTTTTTGATAAAGCTTATATTTAGGGCTTTTAGTTAATAATAATAATAATAATAATAAGGTCTAGGCCTTACTATGTAAAGTGTCCTGGGACACCCTTTATTGTCATTTGGTGCTATATAAATATAATTAAATTTAATTGAAGAAATGACTTTTTCAGATGGCTTACCCCTGCTACACTAACCATAACAGCAAACAGCCAACTATTGTTCAGTAGGATGAAAGTAGGCTATGGAATCACAAAGCACAGCAAGAAAGATAACACACTCTGAAATTAGGTTGAATAACAATTTTACTTCCTGTTTCAAGAACAGAGTGGGATGAAATTTCAGACTTCATATGATACACAGCAACATAATCATCAGAACTGAAGCCACTGCATGTTGTTTGAAATTATGTGCTGTGTTTTTGATAAAGTTTCACAGCAACTGCAACCATTTCTGTCTTGTACACCAATATCTCTCTTACACTTGGAAGAAATCTTGCTGTTTCTCAAAAACAGAAGGATATGTTACTATAAAGGTACAGTACATGCCAGTCCTCACGATTTTTTTTCTTTGCCCTCACAGGTTTCCATTCCTGTGGCTGTTAGGTCTCTTTCAGGTGCTGGAATACTGCAGTGCTGGTATCTTACCTTCAAATAAGCTATAAACCTAAACTTTTTATTTTTGAAAATGAGTTGACAGATAATCAGATTTAGTAAAGTCAGTGTCTTTTTTCTCTTCTTTACTTGTTTCAGTTGATCCTATGGCGTGTGAGGCAATAGGCAGCAAGTGCCACCCTAAGGCTGAATGTGTACAGCTCAGTAGCAGCTTCACCTGTGCGTGCCACATAGGCTACCAGGGCGATGGTCTGATGTGCGAAGACATCGATGAATGCCTCACTGGAATGCATAGTTGTCATCCAAAGGCCCAGTGCAAAAATAATATGGGCAGCTACAGCTGTACCTGCCTCAGTGGATATGCTGGAGACGGCATCAACTGCAAAGACATTGACGAGTGCCAAAATGATAATGGAGGTTGTGATACCAACGCCATCTGTACTAACTTTGAGGGAGGGCTATCATGTCATTGTAAAGCTGGCTTCATGGGTAATGGCTTCCAGTGTACTGATATTGATGAATGCACTAACCCAGGGCTTTGCCATTGGAATGCCACCTGCTTCAACAACCCTGGGTCCTATATGTGTACCTGTAATTCTGGCTATAAGGGCAATGGAAACTACCTATGTCTTGATGTAGATGAATGTTCAGTGACTCCTCTTATCTGTTCTTCCGCACTTGGCTACAGAGGCTGTAAAAATCTACCAGGCACTTATCAGTGTACATGCAGCAGTGGCTTCGAAAGTAACGGGCAGAGCTGTGTAGACATCAACGAATGTGAAACCAAAATTTGCAGTGTGTACGCAAATTGTGCAAACACCATTGGGTCATACCAGTGTACCTGTAAAAGTGGCTTTGTAGGAAACGGGCTGACATGTGCAGATGTAAATGAATGCTATGAAAACAATCTGTGCGACCACAATGCTGCTTGTATCAACAGGCTGGGGAGTTACGAGTGTTCCTGTCGGGGAGGTTTTGTAGGGGATGGACGTGTCTGCTCTGACACTGATGAATGTACAACGCCCAACATCTGCCCATCTCCCACTGTCTGCATCAACACTGCTGGGTCATATTACTGTGATTGTGGCACTGGTTTCATTTTCAATAACTCCAAGTGCCAGGATATGAATGAGTGTGAGGCAGGCCTCTGCAGCCCCTACGCAACCTGCACAAATTCGCCAGGCTCCTTCGTTTGTTGGTGTCCAGCAGGGTACAAAGGAGACGGCTTCAGCTGTGCAGATGTGGATGAATGCTTGCTGGCTAAGCAGTGCCACTCCAATGCCCTTTGCACTAATCTTCCTGGCTCCTACAACTGCACCTGTCGGGTGGGTTATTCTGGAGATGGGGCAATCCTGTGCAATGATGTGAATGAGTGTCTGGTCGATAATGGAGGATGCAGAAACAAGGCTACATGTTTCAACAGCCCAGGTTCCTTCTCTTGCCTGTGCCAGCCAGGCTTTGTCTTAATTAACCACACTGTTTGCCAGGATATAAATGAGTGTAAGGAAATGAACAGTACATGTAGAGCTAATGAAGAGTGCCAGAACACTGAGGGGTCATATGAGTGCCACTGTCAGGTCGGTTTCTACCGCCCTGTCAAGAACATGGACTGTGTTGATAAGGACGAGTGTAAAGACAATCCTTGCCATATAAATGCCACATGCCTCAACACCATCGGGTCCCACACTTGCACCTGTAAACGAGGTTTTTCAGCAAATGGCAGCAAATGTGAGGATATAGATGAGTGTTCGGCTATGGGTACCTGCGACCCAAGGGCACTATGCACCAACAGCATAGGGGACTTTGTCTGCTCATGCCAACAGGGTTTCAAAGGTGATGGCTTCTTCTGTCAGGATGTGAATGAGTGCACCCTCTCTGAGACCATCTGCCCAGCCTTCTCAAAATGTATCAACTCCCCTGGCGCTCATGTCTGTTCATGTTTGAATGGCACAGTTGTCTACAATGGCACATGTGTGCCACCCAGTCCATTGTGTGACCCTGCCTGCCACTTTTATGGCCTGTGCCACCGTTCACCTGCTGGATATCAGTGCGTGTGTGACCTGGGTTATGAGGGTGATGGGCTGTCTTGCTCTGATATAGATGAGTGCCAGATGGAAACCAGTTGTTCTAAGAATGAAACTGAGTGTGTGAATAGCCCAGGATCATTTTCCTGCATCTGCAGGAAAGGATACACCCTCAATGGAACACAGTGTCTCGGTAAATTACAATTCTTTTATTCTTGTTTTCAAATAAATCTCTAAAGTGAGGTTAACTTAGACTAGATCCAGATCTCTTGCTGCCCACGATATCAGGCTGAATGAATGAAGTGAAACAAAAAAGCAGTTCAGTCTGATACCTAATCTGTGATTAACTGAACCTATTTAAAGGGCAGTTCATAAATTGCATTGAATGTACAAAATATTACTGATTTTTGTCAGTAAAAATATAAGTTAAATCCAGTTAAAAGACATTATTTTTCACTGTTTTCTCTTTTCAAATACAACCAAAAAAAGCAGTACATAAAGTCATTTGTGAGGCAAATAAGATGTAGCCAATACTAAGGGAGTCAAAGATTGAAAATATTGCATTAACCATCTACTACTCACCAGCCCTTCGCCATATTGCCTTGTGATGTCATTACTGTATAACCCACAAACTGTGCCTTAACCACTAGCCTACCAGGGACGGTTAATGCAATATTTTCAATCTTTGATAGATATATTATTATTTATTTAGTTTTATTGATTTGTTATAAAATATGTAGACCCACAATCTCATCTAGTTACTAAGAATTTCCAAACAGCCACCATGGTATCCATCTAGATAAATCTTTGATAGAACAACTGAACATTCTGTTTTAGTGCTATCGTCACCAAACTTTTACCTGACTTTGTTTACCTTTCTGGCTGTCACTCCGTCTGTATGGTTGATTTAATATGGCTTATGCTAATTCTGAATGTTCGATAGTAAACTACAAAGAGTTACCTTTCAAAAGAGGCCAGGGACACGAATGTAGTCCTCAGGGTACACAATTACAGTACTAGCCATTTTAGTTTGGATATGCCATTTCAGACTTGTGCAAAATTTATAATGCACAGAATGATTCTCGGTCACATAGTCGTTAAATGAAAATTTACAAGCGTTTGAAGTTGCAAACAGTTCTCAGAAATTTCTTTACCTCCATGCTTATTCATTTAAAACACATTTGTACTTTAATGTTAGAAGTAGTTTTTGGGTTAGGCACTTATTCATTCAAACTGACAGTTGCCACACACTGCCAGTAATGGGATTATAATGAGGAGAAATCAGTGTTTTATTGGGGTTTTAAACATTGCTGTAGACCTGCTGTTGTTGGAGATGATATTCATTCCAGGATAGGGAGTGACACACCACCTACTCCTCCTGGCTCTATTGTAAAAATTTCCACACATTTCAACTCCACAAGACAGTACCACAACAATGAAGCTACCCCTTTTTCTAAAATGTGGGTCTATTTCTCTTTCTCTTTGTAGAGATTTGATTTACCTCTCTTCTAAATAAATGTTTATCTGTAGAAGTAATTTGATCTGATAATGGATTGTCCTCTGATTGAATGCTGTTAAGTTGAAGTATCTCTGTTTCCTTCTCCCTTCTTTCTGCTTTTGTCCTTTGCCTTTCTAGATGTGAATGAGTGTGAGACAGGGCAGCAGGAGTGCAGCAAGTTTGCCCAGTGTGTCAACACAATTGGTAGCCATTTCTGTTTCTGTCTCAATGGCTTCACAGGTGATGGGAAGAACTGCTCTGGTGAGTATCAAATCCTTATTGTTACCATCTATAATACCAGTTGTCTTTTACCCCTATGTGTGCACTCTCTTTTGAGATTTCTTTTAGCACCATTTGGGGCTGTTTTCCTGACACTGTCCCATTTTGGATAAATTATAGACATTGATGAGTGCCATGTCCAAAATGGAGGATGCCATCCACTCGCCAGCTGCAGTAACATACCTGGATCTTTCTACTGTGCCTGCCCACCTGGCATGGAGGGCAATGGCTTTGACTGCCAGGATGTGAATGAGTGCAAGCAGAATTCCACTCTGCTACACAACTGCAGCACCAAGGCTTCGTGCCTCAACACATATGGGTCCTACAGCTGCCGGTGCCAGAATGGATACCAGGGTGACGGCTTTGTTTGCCAGGATGTGGATGAATGTCAGCTGACCACAACCTGCAGCAGCAACATGACGTGCAGCAACACCCCCGGTTCATTCATTTGTTTTTGTGCCTTGAACCTGGAGTATGACATTGGCACATGCGTGACAGAAGACACTTGCCTGAATGCTAGTAATGTCTGTCACCCCCAGGCCGAGTGCCACCCATACATGGGTTCTTTCTACTGCGGGTGCAAAGATGGTTTTAAAGGAAGTGGTACTAACTGCTCGGATGTAGACGAATGTGACCAATCACAAGATCAAGTCTGTCCTGCCTTCTCCCACTGCTTCAACTCTCCTGGCTCCTTCTTCTGTGACTGCTGGGAAGGGTTTAAAAAAAATGGGACACACTGTCAGGATTTAGATGAATGTGTGACAAGAAACTTTAGCTGTCCTGACAACAGCACCTGCTATAACACAGAAGGGGGCTACAAATGCATCTGTGACCCAGGCTTCTCAGGCAATGGCTCCCTGTGTGTGGATGTAAACGAGTGCTCCCTCGGCCTCATCCAGTGCCCTAATTTCTCCCGCTGCCTAAATACAATTGGATCTTTTGTCTGTAAGTGCTGGGACGGTTACCAAGGCAACAAGACTGACTGTGAAGATATCAATGAATGCCTAGACAACTCTACCTGCCCTGAACATAGCACCTGCATCAATACCAATGGAGGCTACCTGTGTCTTTGTGACAATGGATTTTCCAGTGTGGGTGACTTGTGTGTAGATGATGATGAGTGCGGTGACATAAAGTTGGGGGAGCTTTGCACTAATGGGACATGTATGAATACTATTGGGTCATATTACTGTGAGTGCATGAAAGGATTCTGGAGCAATGGGACAGAGTGCGTGGATGTAGATGAATGCTCAGACTCCTTCAACTCTTCAGTGTGCCAACCCTATTCCACATGTGTCAACATCCCCGGATCTTACCGTTGCCTCTGCAAAGAGGGATTTATTCTGAATGGTACTACATGTCAAGATATAGATGAGTGTCATGACCCGCACAGCACCCCATGCCCTAAGCACTCATTATGTAACAACATAGCAGGGTCTTTCTTCTGTCTTTGCTCTCCTGGGTATGAACCCATTCTCTTGGGCTGTGAGGATATCGACGAATGCAAGGACAATGGCACTTGCCGCTTTGACCAGGTGTGCACCAACCTGCCTGGAACGTACTATTGCTCTTGTCCGTTGGGGTATCATGAAGAGAAACAGGAATGTGTTGACACTGATGAATGTGAGATCTCACCATGCCACCCCTTGGCACGCTGCTGGAACTCTCCTGGCTCCTTTTCATGTCACTGCCCTCAGGGCTTCGCTGGAAATGGCTCCTGGTGCAAAGATGTGGATGAGTGTGTTGCCCTGGCCAAACCATGCCACCGTCTTGCACGCTGCCACAACACCCAAGGGTCGTTTATATGTGTGTGCGTGCCCGGCTTCATAAGCATTGGGCTGCTGTGCGTAGACTTTGATGAGTGCCAGCAGGCTAATGGGCAGTGCCACCCTGCTGCCACCTGCTCCAACCATGTAGGAGGTTTCAAATGCTCATGCAGTCGTGGCTGGAAAGCCACCAAAGAAAACGGTCATGGAGTAGAAGGATGTGTGGATTTGGATGAGTGTGTCTCTCCCATGGCATGTCCTGGACATACATCCTGTACAAACCTGCCAGGGTCTTACAGCTGTTCCTGTCCCATAAATGGCACAGTGTGCGGAACGATGATGGCTCTGCAGGGTTAGCTATATTTTTTAGTCACCTGTCTTGATAATCATAAACTGATGTTGTGTGTGCGTGTGCCATGTTGCATACAGTATGTTTTTTGATGTATTAGTCCTGGTATTTTCTGCATTGCTTTTCTTTGTCATTTTTGTAATGTCACATCATTGTTGTTAGGCAAAAACTTGTATTTAAAAAATGTCAGTGACTGATGAGCTCCAGCCATTCTTTTTACTGGCTCACATCACCATTTGGTAAAATAAATCAAAATATAGGATTTTGCCTCTCCTTCCTTGCTAAGGGACAAGCTAACATTACTGTAAGGCAGCTGTATTTTACAAAAAACAGCTAACAGTTTTACCTTTATCCATGATGTTTTCATTTATGGTGTCAAATCCCAAATGCTTCATTACTTTTCAGATGGTTTTGTGTCATTACTATACAGCACAGTGACCTCAAAATTCAAATAGAAGTGACAGCTTAAGCAGTCACTTCACATGTTGTGAACCATGCTGATTGACTGTCTGTGCTTCCCCACTAGAGAGCATCCTGTACCCCTTTGGAGTAGAGGTTGGTGATAAAGAAGTAAAGGTGGACTCAGAAGATGGAAATTCACCATACATAACACCACCAATGGGTTTCCCTTTTATGGGGAAATTGTATGACAGGGTTTATGTGAGTCTCTAAATACACTTACAACACTAAAATATCTCACAGAGTACATGTACTGTATCTGCCAAAGCTGCATAATTCTCTGCAATCTTTGTTATTGAGAAATATCCTTCTGGATCCAAATGTAACAATTCACAATATTTAGAAATCCTCCAGTCCTGGATCCACACCAGAAATGGTCTCCTGTTGGCCTATGGCCAAAATTTACAGTAAATCAAAGATAACAATAATACACAGTGGAATATAACAAAAGAAAAATCACACTGTAGGCCTACACTGTTATGCTGTATTCTATGAGACAATAATAATACAAATGACTTACTACAGTATACAATGTATAGATGAAGGTAGAGCATTAGTCATAGACTATGTGATCCATATGGGCCTTACAGTACATGGCTTCCTCCAGAGTAAAATAGTTCTAATCCATGCAGCTCTTATAATGAAAATGAGATCAAATCAATGACAAAATGAAAGCAAAATTCATTATTATCTAGTTATCAGTTTAAGTCAGAAGATGATAGTTCTGATATCTGTCCAACATCTTCTCTTCCTTTCCTTTCCCAGTTTTCTGACAATGGCCTTGTCCAGTTTCAGTCTCTCACTGAGAATGAGCAGTACCTGCTCCCTGCTCCTTTAGCCAGTGGTTTCCCTGATGACATGAATGTGACTCTATTGGCAGCGTTCTGGGATGATGCCAACCTCACCACTGGGGCTGGACAACTGCTCTATCAGGTTATTTGTCCTCAGGGGTCAAGGCTCATCTTGGGGTTTGATTTTATTTTTTGTTCTGTTGAAAGGATCAGGTAAAATCAAAGATGAAGTCAAAGAACAGCCTAGTCTTGATGCAGATTACAGGACACGTTTTTATGTCATATCTAATAATTTAATAGGTTTATATTGCAATTTGTGATTTATATTACTCCTTTTCCTTTTTAAATCCTCCAGGAATACTTTAAGATGGATAAACCAAATGTATACTCCCAGATAGTGTTTAATCGCACAGCAGATGAGGTGACAAAGTTTGAGATGCAGCGAGGCAAGCTTCCTTTTACTCCTGCCTGGGTCCTCAAGATCACTTGGGATCATGTGATGCCTGTCTACTTCCAGAATATCAACTTCTCAGAGGTATTCCAGTCAAGAAATCATTCCACTATAGAGTACAAAAAGCACTGAGAACATATCCTATTCTTGTAATCTAGATTTAGATTATATTTATTGTTTTTTTGTTTTTTTTTACAATGTTTTTGAGCCAAATTTGTGACCAACATCCACAGGTATTTGACTTTAGATTCTACAGACACAAAGGGGAGGAACACAAATCTTGCAAAACCTGTTCACCAGTAACATTTTCATATTGAACAAAATGCCTTAAAGATGTGATTGTTGCACTGACTTGTTTTGTTTTAACTACAATTTCATATTTTTTTCTTGTTTCCTTTACTCTCTCATACAATCCCTTATGCATCACTTTCACTGAAAGGTAGTGTTACTGTTTGTCCTTACTATTGTTATGTGCAATGTGACCCCATTAACTGTCAGCTGAAAAAAGCAGGTATTCAGCCATTGCTTCTGGAGCACTGGCACAGTTTTGTTTAACTAGAGTTCCACCTTGGGGCTATTTCACCCTAAAGGACTTGAACACAGAGTGTTAAAAGATGTTGCATTATCATTTGTGCATGGGTTGGGAGACCTTGTTCTAGTGTAACCATGTAGTGTTAGTCAGTGATAATTGATTAATTAAAAGCAGGAAGAATTATAGTAAAATTATAAATCATAATAGAATATCCAGTTAATATATTTAATTCATGTAGGGCAAAAAACTTTAGTGCTTAATGTTAAAATTTTAATAAACAGTTTATGAGAACTTCACTATACTTGGTAACTCAAACAGTTCTGGTTTGATATTTTCAGACTAACACTTTCCAGTGTATCCTGACCACGGATGGAGCACGCTCTTTTGCCCTCCTGCGATATGGGGAGATGGGCTGGGGTCCTGGCCAGAGGCTGTATCATGATGCCCTCATAGGCTACACAAATGGAAAATTCACCTTTAAGGAGCCCACTGTTCCCCCAGAAAACCTTTTTGGGCCTGGGGGCAGATACAGGCCACAGCAGGTGAAAGGGACCTTGGGGAAGTTAGGACAGCTGATTTATGATTTGACAGGACCAGTAGGCTCAGACATGGATTCTCAAGTCCAGTGCCAAGTGTGGGCAGTAAAGGAGCCTGATCCTGCTGAGTGGACAACGGGGTTGTCTTCATGTCCCTGCACCCGTATCCAGGCTCTGGAGGATGTGTCTTTCTTGCAGGATACTGCTGATCCAGGCTCAAGGGTCAAGATGCTAAGGGGTCAGCGGTGGGGGGGCACAGGGGAGCACATCTTCAAGTCAGTCCTGGCCAATAGATATGGTTCAGGGAAGAGGTGTGCATATGATCTAGAAGGTCCCCTGCTGGCTGGGTACAGCGAACGCTACTTCCTTGGTCACAGCATACAGAACCACATCGGTAACACACCAAGTGATTTTTGTTCACATCCACCATAAAAGCAAGTCTTGTGTTTTATGTTTTTAATCCAGGGTTGTTTTCAAGATAGCATTAGTTGCATCACAGTCAACCAACGGGGGTCATGAAAGACCAACATATGCACTACTTTTCAGATATTACAAAAGTTTGTAAAGCATTGTTAAAACAGAAATCTATATGGAGCTTTGTGGACAGTTTGTCATCACAAATCAATAAATTCATGCTGCCAGATTTAACATTTTATTCAACTTTTTTGTCTAGATGAAGATCTCCTGCCATTCCAGTGGTGTTGTATCGAATCTCCTCTATGCCACCTGTACCTTGAAAAGAGACCAATGGACCGCTGCCAAGGTTATGGCTGGTCCAGCCCTGACTGCTGCACCCAAGCCAAAAAGTCAACACAGGCTCAAGGTATAGGTAAGGGACTCTTCCCAGTAAACCCATCAAGTAACCAGTGAAAATCTTCATTGTTTTTAAGAAATACTGTCATGATACTCAGCAGCTTGTTCATTCCTTCATTTCAAAAAAGACTATAGTGTGATGAATTCAAATGATTTCCCTGAAAACTTGTCATGTCCATGCTTCCCTTGCAGCGATGGTGTTTGGTAGCCTCCATTTCATCACAGTCGATGGTTCAGAGTACTCCTTCAAGGCCCTGGGAGAGTTTGTGATATTGCGTCTCTCCTCCACCACCGGCTCTAATATCTTCACCTTGCAAGGACAGACTGACAGGCTACGCATAGATTCAAAGCAGATCATTGAAATCCCAGTGATGGTGCGCATGGCTGCCTTCCACCAGGGCATTGGCAAGGTCTGGATGTTTGTGTGCATGGAGGGAAGACACTGGAAGTATGTGTGTATTTTATAGAGAGAGACGGAGACAGTTTGTGAATATTAGAGTATTAGCTAAATTTGGGAAAATAGGCCTATTTTCTTTATTTCTGAGAGTTAGGGGAGGAAACTGATACTACCCTCATGACTGGGCATTAAGTACAGAGCTGGAGCTGGGAGATTATAAGCCTTAGATTGGCTTAAAGAAATAAGAGGAAATAGGTAGGTAGGTACTTTATTGATCCCACAGTGGGGAAATTTCTGTATTACAGTAGCAATAGAGAACAACCAGCATAACACCATAAGAACAGGACTTCATAAAACATGGAAAAGAACACAACAAGGATACAGCTACTGTAACTTGCTGCCACTCCGCGCGGCACAACAAAGAACACTTAGTCTTAAAATAAACAGTTACATAAAGGCAACAAAGCATTAGAACCGATACACACAAGTAGCGTCATCAGAACATTACATTTTACACAGCAGAAATAAGCAAATCAAAGGCACCTAAAAAACAGGGAAGAGCAGCACTGGAGAGAATCAGGAACAGCAGTAGAGACTAAACAACCAGGAAATCAAGAACAATCGAATATTACTCACACAATTAATCCCACAATGGGGGAAAGAAACCTATGTTTCAGCCATAAGGATCTCTGAGCAACTACTCAAAAATACCTAAAGCAGGGCAATGTACAGTATTTCAGAGAGATCAGGAACAAGATATTTACAATGCATTTCACACCCAGGAAATGAATATTGCACCTCAGTAGATTATTGCATAGTCCCTCAAAATAACTAGCCTGGTTGTGTCTATAGCTCAAAAGTACACCCGACAATGCCTTTAAAACTTACTATTTAATATACTGTATCTTGTTTAATTCATACACAAACAGAAATATTAGAACAACTTTGTGAACAACAAACTGACATCTAGTCTCATCATTATAGTGCAGTTAACAGGTCTAATACTATTATGTGTTTAAAATATATGGTCATTGATATCTGGCAACCTGCACTGTAGGTGACACTGCACAAAGTACTGGATGGATGGATAAACTGTTTGTCGAGAAGTGGTTACAGCATGTACCTCACTCAAAAACCACAATGTGTTAATTAGTGAGCTTAGGTGCATATTTTTAAGTTTTTAACCAGGCTAGCTGTTTCCCCATGCTTCCAGTCTTTATGCTAAGCTAAGCTAATCACCTCCAGCACCGTGCCTAATGTTATCGATCATTTAAATCTTGGAAAAGAAACTAATATGCATATTTCTATCCTTTGAAAAATCTAATATACACTATATAAATATAAATTCAACTGAACACTAATATTCTCTATTGTGACAGAGAATAACAGAGTTTCACTATCAAGATTTTTGGAAGGAAATATTCCCACCCATTCATGGCAAATAATAATTCCATGTGTTTGCACCATTTCTTTTCATCTTTTTGGAATTCCAGTTGTGTGTACTTTTATAAAAGCCAAAGACATATGTAGGTACCTTATAGTTTAGACTGATTTCTGTACAATAGAAGGTATGTAAGTACACAAGTATTTCCAAACCTACATGTTATCCAATAGCTAATGCAGACTAAACATTAGACACTGTTTGTATATCATACTTTAACCTAGCTCTCTAATTTTTATATATTGTTTTCAGATTGAATGGAGATGCTCAGAGGAAGAAGATGGACTCCAGGTTTTTGTGGATGATGTTAAGGTCCCAGTCACAGTTGGTAATGATAGACTTGTTTTGTTTTGTTTTGTTATGAGATACCACAGTGCAGAAACAGATGAAGAGGCATTCTGTACTTAGGTTCACATAATAATAGAAAAATCTGGCCTATCATTCAAAATGTATTTAAGATGTAAAAGCCATTGTAGACAAATGTGCCTGCTGTGCTAATTGTATAACAAATATGTCATAACTATCCTTTCAGGTGTTGTGTACCTGGGTGAGAAGGACTTTACTGTGCACTGTACCTCAGTGACTCGCTGTGCAGCGGTGTACGCTGGGGGTCTCCATGTGGTGGTGTGGCGGGGTGTAGGCAGCAATCAGCTAGCGGCCTTGGTGGAGGTTCCTCAGGTCTACTACAACCGCACTGTGGGTCTCCTGGGTCTCTGGAGCACCAACCGTTCTGATGACTTCCTCATGTCCGATGGCAGGATCCTTTCCTCTGCAGACCTCAACCCCCCCACAGAGGAGAGACTGCAGTACTTTGGCCTGTCCTGTGAGTGGACCATAGATGGATACACTTACAGTACATTGTTTTGTGTTTGAAGAAAAACCTTGAGAGCATTTTTAGAAATAATGCAATAAAAGTGAAGCTCTCATGTATCAGAAAATAAAAATAGGAGCCTTTTTGTTGATGGTCACCCTGTCCTCTCAGGCTACTGTATTCTACAGCAGACCCATGTCGGGCCTGACCACCATGCAGCCCAGGAAAGCAGACCTGCTTCCCTGTCTTCCTGTAGATGCAGGCAGTGGCTTTCAGCAGAATGCTGTGATGAATCCATTATGCACTACCTACTCAGCACTGATATATATACTGAATATTTAGTTGTTTTACTTCATACTAATTAAAAACAAATAAGTGAGGGATCTCCCAAAATACTTGAAAATGCCTACTGAGAACAAACACTCCAGCCTGGCTTCCAATTCCAGTCCAGTATTGTAGGATGGACAACATCTAGACCATTAGTAGGGTATTTTTCACAGCTATACCTGTCACCAATCATATCTGCACCCACGTTATGTTTTGATTTTTGTGTTTTTCTAGGGACAGTCCCAGTCCCAGAGAGCCTGTTGTTCTCTCAACCTCCATTGGTTCCACTGGTGCCTACCTCCACTGATCAGCTGCTGAGAGGCACCGGTCCTGCTGAGGTGGAAACATTGCTGAGAGCTTGTGAGCACCACATACAGTGTGTCCATGATGCCCTGGCATCTGGCAGCTCTGACCTGGGCCTGCAGACACTGGACACCATGAAGCAATACCAACAGCGGGCACAGATCTATGGTAAACTGTCTATGCCATTTTCAGAGATTTTTGTGTGACTACTAATTGTACTAATTTGATGTGGGTTGTCTGTGGCCTGGCAGGTAACATGCCTCCCATAGTGACAGAGCCCACAGTGATCCGCTGTAAGGTCAGCTCCACTGTCAAGATTCAAGTTGTTGCTCAGGACCCCAATGGAGACCCCATCACCTACGCACTGGTCCAGCCCAGGCCTCCACAGACTTTTATTGGCAGCGGTGGGAAACACACACACACACACACACACACACAAACAAATAAATGAACGGTCTGTCCACCCATCACTGTTACAGATGACGTTGCTGGTGACATGTGTTAGTGGGATGGTGAAGCTGTGTAGTTCCAACAGATGGGACATTTCAGAGATGAGTCAGTGGACTGGTCACACAGAGAGACACACAGGCAAACAAAATACATACAAGAAATTGGCACTATTTTTTATACTTTTGCAAAAAATGTTGTAGCTATATACTTGTGTGTTTGTTTTGATTTGACTTTACAGAGAGAATATATGGCTTCTTAGAAATCCTAAGACGGTAGTATTATGTTAGATTTATGAATCAATTTCTGTTTGTACACCTGTGATATATGCCTTGCTTTCTGCTCCAGGTGATGGCTACCTGACATGGACTCCCCTCAGCACTCAGCCTGTCCAGCTGACCATTAGAATCAGTGATGAGCTCACCAGCTCCTTGCTCACCCCCATTCTGCAGGTCTGCAACTGCTTCAATGGAGGAACCTGCCAGTATGACAGCATCGCTGAAAACCACCAGAAGGGAAAGTTTCAGGTGCATTTTTAGGTTGAATTGATGTCGATATCTAATGTACATAATGTAGACCCATTACCTGTAATTTAATTTAATCTTGATTCTACTTCACTGGAGTAAAAAATTAAAGCCTGTTTTTTGTTTGTTTAAAATTTTGGAAATTATATTTGCTTTAAAGCTTGTTTGAGAGATCTGATTATTTCCTGATGAAATGTCTTATTTTAAATAAATGTTTTTGTACAAAGTATTGACATATACACCAATCAGGCATAACATTATGGCCATTGGGAGATGAAGTGAATAACACTGACTATCTGTTATAGTGGCACCTGTCAGTGTGGGGGATATATTAGGCAGCAAGTGATCATTCAGTCCTCAAAGTTGATGTGTTGAAAGCAGGAAAAATGGAAAAGTGTAAGAATCTGAGTGACTTGACAAGGGCCAAACTGTGATGGTGAGATGACTGGGTCAGAGCATCTCCCACACTGCAGGTCTTGGTGGGTGTTGTTGGTCTGCAGTGGTTAGTACCTACCAACAATGGTCTATGGAAGGATAAATGCTGAACTGGCGCCCACGGCTCACTGATGATGAAGGTGCCTTACTGTAGATTAAATGTTTAACTTCCATTTGTACTTTTCAAAAGATTAAAATGTATTTGAATCTTTGTTAAAATGGTTGAAATGAGAAATACTGTACACTGATTGGTCTGTATGAAGAGAAAGAGTCAGGGGCTGTAGTGGTGACATCTAGAGTGGTGAGGCTGTTGAATTTGTCTAAAAATTGAACACTGTGAATACAGCAGCTGACTTCTTGCTTTTTACAACTAGATTCTGCATAGTAGCAACCAGAAGTGGAGTGATGCATCAGGCTGCCAAAGAAAGCTGTCATATCAACCAAAATACACTCCTTTTTAAATAATCAAATAGCTTATAAAAAACAAACTTACCAGAAAAATTACCACTTGTAAACACATCAATGTGATACTATAAATGAGTGACCTTATCTGATTTGTACTTTGAGTTTTATGTTGGCTCATGTCCCATCCACTAACATGGAAGTGGTGGGATTTATTAGCTATACTGCAAGCAGCCACCAGGTGGCGATCATGTAATTCATATTTTATACAGTCGATGGCCCAAAGTCACATTTTCTCTTTTGTAAATTTAGTTGAATTATCCAAACATTATGATTATCTTCTTTCAACTCCTTAAATTTCCTTTTCATTTGTCCTTAACTTAATGATGTTTCTCAGCGAAGTTAAAGAAATGTAGTTTAGGGAAGAAGGCAGATGTAAATGTTTTGACTGCTTCAACACAAAATTAGTTGTAAATGCATCCTTGTTGGCGCACTAAAGTGCCTAACCTTCCTGAAGTAGAAAAAGATGTATTTTTCCATCTACAAATCTCTGAAAAAGTCAGAGACAATCATTGTGATGAATATTTTAAATATTCAGACCCCTTCACTTTCTGCACATGTTGTAGATTTAACTTTAAATGGGTCAAATTGCCTTCCCTCAGTTCTGAACAGTCTCCCTGTCCCTGCTACTGAGACACCCCCCACCCCGATATATACACAGGCATGTGCCTTTCTGAATTACTGTATATCAAGTCAGTTGCTTAAGGTGGACTCCACTGCTGTTCTATCAATCAAGGATATCTATCAAGGAAAATTAAAACAAACAGGATGCACCTGACCGCAACTTTTGACACAGCAAAGGATCTGAATGCTTTAGTAAATGAGAGATTTTAGTGCTTAAGTTTAAATAAATTTGTTTTCACTTGCTGAGTGTAGGCAAAATGTCAACTTCATCGAACTAAAATAACTTACAACACAATAAAGTATGCAAAAAGTGAAGGTGTCTGTCATGTTTCTTGTGGGTCCACACAGTAGGTTAATCTATGTCTGTTTTCCTTGGTGTTCATTCTTTGTTCTCTTCCCAGGTGGTGGGGTGTCTGTGCCCAAAGGGGTTCAGCGGGGTGTTCTGTGGGAACATTTCAGACGTATGTCAAGGCAAACCCTGTTTCCGAGGGGTGAATTGCAAGTCGGACTTGAAGCCCGACCAGTTCACCTGTGGGGTGTGTCCTAATAACACCTTTTCCATGGGAAAAGAGGGATACAAGTGCTTTGAACAGGGTCTGTGGCACAATAATGATTTTTGTTTGCAGGATGTCTTTGTGTAGACCCATTAGCAGGTGTGGACCCCATACACTATCATTGATCTCATTCTTGTCTTTGTGTATACCTTCTCAGATATGTGCAGCCCTCCTTTCCCCTTCCCTTGCCACAAAGATGCCACCTGTCAAAGCATGAAGGACACCTACAACTGCACTTGTAAGCCTGGCTATGATGGAAACGGACACAATTGTACAGGTACCGAATGTCCAGCACTTGAATATGAAAAACACTTTTATATACAAAACTTACAGTACAGCTATTTTTGTTTGTATTGTAGATATAGATGAGTGTGCGTGGCTCTCAACCTGTCCCAATGCCAAGTATGAGTGTAAGAACAAGCCCGGTTCGGTCGACTGCCTCTGTAGATACCAGAAAACCAGCTCCAGTGAAGGATGTGGTATGTGTACAGACTTATGTGTGTATTTATCCAGTAGCGGACTATTGTATTAGTTACTCCCACAGATAATTCACTTGTGATTGTGTTCCTCTGTAGGTGACTCTGAAAACCCGCCAGGTAAGAGCTTCTGTCTGTTTGATTCTATGGCATCATTAGTTTTATTACAGCTGGACTCCATCTCTGTGATGTTATTATGGTAAACACACCTATGTATGGATATAAGAGGTCATCACACACCTGTTGCTGCTGGTCTGTGTCTTCAGGGAATAATGTATTCAATGTCTCTGTGAACTGGAAGAGGACCAGACCTGATGGACTTGAAAAGGTGTGTGGGTGTGTGGTGTATAAAGATATACAAGCACTGTCTTGTAATACATTAATTAGCAACATGTGACACTGAAATTTCTATAAAGTAATCCTCTGCCTCTGCTTGTTTCTCAGCTGATAGACATTTTGTGGATGGGTTTCCAGAACAAATTCTACAATGCCAGTAAGAAGATCCTACAACAGGGATCCATTCTGGGTTTGGATGAATATCGTATCAACGTGTCCAGTGACACACCCCACTGGTATGTCAGAGACTACCTGGCCAGAGTCAGCAGCCACTTTGACATTAGGGCCATTGAAGTTGATGGTAAGATACTGTTGGTGATTTTCATGAGCTTGTGTTCATTATCTATCTATTTTTGGGAAAGAACATTTGCATTTCTATTTGTAAGCTCAGCAGGTCTAGCAAAAGATAAATAAAAGATAGGCTACTATCTTAAAATTAATTCATGGTCTGTTGTTAGCATGATGCCTTTCATAAGATCACCAGATAAAGTTTGGTTAAATTATTATTTAAAGATGCTTGTGACAAATGAAACCTGAGATTTTTGTTATTTGTTGCTGGTTTTTAGTTGCTATTGTTTTGTAATGGTTATGAGGTTTAAAAATACATCTAAAAAATTGGCCATTACTTGTCAATGAGGGTCATTATCTTTATAACTGCAGTGGAAATATAGTAATGTAATTATAATTAATATAATAAGTATAGTCTGTTATTTTTATATAGAATAGGCAAGTAGGAAAAACTGAGTAATATAGAAGTTTTAATTTCACATGTGACTAACATCATATATTATAGTGTTTTAGTTGGACATAGTATTTTGGTATTAACATACAAAATATACTGCGACACTATTAAAAGTGTTGCTAAGACTGTCTCTGTCCCCACCTACAGATGTGGATGAGTGTAAAGCCAAGGAGTCAGTGTGTGTCCCTCCTGCCATCTGCACCAACACTTACGGAGGATACAGGTGCATCTGCAATGGCACAGATGTGGATGAAACCCAGGTCTGTTTAACAGGTGAGGATCTGACCATATTTGCATCCATCCTACAGGTATAGCACTGTCCTCAAGGCTGGCAATCTGTCAAAAATCAAAGTTATGACTGAGTGCCAAACATTTGCTGTCAAACATGCCTTTTAGTGTCTAATATTGTAAACATTTTGCAGGTCATGTTCTAATAGAAAGTCAGTGTATGGTGTTATCATTCACGGACCTGTGAATGACACCTTGATATTTATCCTGTGCTTTGTAGGGGAATGTGTGGCATGATCTGATGAGAGCTTTTTTATAAAACTGTTTGCCATAACTTCATTTTTATTAAGCCAAACCAGAGAGAATCAACGACAATAATGTGGGGCTGGACCTTGTTCTGAGGCTGGTTCTAGGCATCGGCATCCCTCTGCTCCTGCTGCTCCTCTTGGTTGTACTGACCTGGCTCTGCTGCTGTTGCAGGAAGACTGTTCCTGCAGAGTGAGTAACTAATTACAAAGCTATTTTTACTTTACAATATACTTGACTGACTGAAATATAGATTAAAGTTTAATGGCTTTTGATGACAATGTTATATGATTGAAGCTCCTGATGCTTGAGTGTGTGTATTGTGAGTATTCCACCAAAGAACTATACTTTGAGTATCAGATGCTCCTTGTAACTTTTAAAAGTGCTTGTATCATGCACCTCACCTTCCTCAATGTTACAGCCCTTGGCGTCACGAATGAGCAGAGAGTCTCTACAGGTGCGGTATGTTTATTTGCAGTCGGCAATGAGCAGCTTCGTGCACCGTGAAAACTGAAATACAGAATAAACGTATAGAAACACAAGTTTGCTACTTTAAAATATGTAAAAATGTGACTAACAATTACAAGAGATACAACACTTTACAATCAGTGTATTTCTACAACCTTATACAAGTAAGAACACCATATTTCACAAACCTTGCTGCGCTCACCAAGGCCGCAATAAAACCAGGATACCTTAGTTGCGTCTTCGGCCTGAAGCACTACTAGCTTGCGTGTTTCCTGAGATAAAGATAGAACCAAAACGACGTGAACGTATAGTGAGAAAAGTTACCAGAGAACTATGTAAGCATTTACATTAACAATAAGCATCAAACCAATAGACAAATCCCCAGTACAAACGACATTATGGTTTGCTTACATACGGAGGTCATGAGGCGAGTGAATGAAACCGAGAAAATTTAACAATACAACGCTTCCTCATTCACGTTCCGGGGCAAAACCTCCTCAGCGCCCTTATGCTGAGTTGATGATAATGAATCTGAGAGGGGGGCTTTACGGTCAGTTACACTCAGTCACTTCCTGTTTTTCCTTGCCTTGTTCTTCTTTTCTCTCTCCTCTATCCACTCACCCCAACCGGTCGAGGCAGAAGGGCGCCAAATTTGGAAAAGCTCCTTGGAGGTTTCTTCCGTTAAAGGGAGTTTTTCCTCCCCACTGTCGCCAAGTGCTTGCTCAAGGGGGATTTGTTGGGTTTTCCCTCTGTAATAATATTGATAACAGTAAGGTCTAGACCTTACGTTGTAAAGTGTCCTGAGATGACTTTTGTTGTGATTTGGCACTATACAAATAAAACTTGATTTGATTTCATTTTACGTAGATGCATAGAATTGCATCGCATGACAGACTTAGTTACATACTGATGTGTAGCTTAACCTATATAGCAGAAAGACAAAAACAATGCTGGTCACACAGAAACCTGAGAAGAGTTTAATGTTACTTCTGTTGAACGTGTTCACGTAAATTGAAAAGAAAAGACTAAATATAAAGATATTTCACAGTGTGAAATTTATTATGCATTAACGTATCAAAATAAGCATGTGCACATGGATCCCATCTGTTTAGGATAAAACAGAAAAGACTAACTTCAACTTAGCAGTACACAACATTTATATGAAAAAATGTTACTCTCTGATTGGTCCAAAAACTGTTGGGGAGGAATTGTGGTTTAAACTTAATTCTCCCAAGATTGGTCCTTCAGCCCGTCCATCCTCCAATCATCCTCTCTGCTCCAATGGTTGTAGACAGCACCCTAAAAAAGGGAGGAATACCTACCCTGTCTTAATTCTCACATAGACACCTATGTCTTTCTTTGTTACCAAGAGACTTTTGGCACTACCCCCTGTTCCAATAAAACTTCTCTGCCTGTGTGTGTGTATATTGCCCTGTCTTTTGAAGTTGGTCCCTCTTCCTGGCTTTAGATCTAATCTCTGTTCCTGCTCTCCTAAGACCCCAATCTACATAAACATAAACACAGCTGTGAGAGTAAAATATATAAACTTATGTATGCTATATAATAAAATCCTAACTAATTATATTCATTTCTATCTAAAAATGAAAATCACCCTAACACTTCTTGGCCAATAAAGTTTAGGGATCTGTGTAAGTTAGGCATGTCTGAAATGTGAGACATTACAGAAACCTCTGTCTGAGCACTCTGTGCAGTCCTCCTTGCTCAGTTAGTGTCCAATATTCAATCCATATCTTAAAGCTAATGAAATAAACCCTGATGTCTGTAAACACCTTCTTTCTACCAACATCAACAATAGCTACACCATCACTGGGTGCTAAAACTCTAATGAATAAATATAAAAAATGGTTTTAGGTGGGTCAGCAGCTCTTCTGCAGGGGGAGGCAGAATTTATTACAGGCGATTACAGAATATACTGCTGCATAATGTTCCACACCCACTATTTCAAGGTCCAGTCTGCCGAAAGACTTGAAGGCTTTAAATCCCATCCTCTGTGGTGGTTCTGCAGCATTGACTCCTTGTATTTCGCTTCCTTCTCAGTTGGTGGATGGACTGCCCACTCTCGTGCTATATTAAACAAGAACACTTCCTACTAACAGCTTTGGTTCGAGTTATGAAACGAAACTTTGGCAGCACTGAGGAATGTTTGCACATAGAACATACAGTAAACCAAGGTAATGGTGAGGGTAGAACATCCACAGAGTAGAGGAACTGGCCAAAACAACATCACCAAACCATTCAAAGTAGTTTCTTAAAGGAGAAGTTCAATTTTGTGAGCTTGTTTGCTTTCTTATACAGGGTTGGCTGAAATGATTGATGCAGCTACCTTGGTGGTGTCCAGAGCTAGCAAAATCTAGCACTTCTAAAGCTTATTATTAACACAATATTTTGTTTTTCTCTACAAAAAAACTAATTGTAACAATGACTGTGTGATTTTACATGAAATTTCATGTCAGACTATTTCATAGCTGGGACTAGTAACTCTATATACATTATGCAAGGAAGATATACTGTACTGTGTGCTTCATTGAGCTTCAGAGATGTTGGTAGGTGGGTTTTGTTCTCTTCAAAAAGAGCTAGGCTAGCTTTTTCCTGTAAGATAATCTAGCCAGTGTCATATTTACCATACAGATACGAGAATATCACCAATCCTCTTATCAACCTCTCAGCAAGAAAGTTAATTTTTGTAAAATGTCAAACTATTCCTTTGGTGTTTGCTGTTGTCAGAAAGGATGTGATAGTTTTGGAAAAGTCAATCACAATAAAGAAATTATTCAAACATATTCGCAATTGCACATAAAAACTAGAGAAATGCATTTCCTGTCGTAAATGCGTGTGGATGCTAATAAAGGCTGAAAGATCATCCTGAAAATGTCTGAAATCAATTGCTGAAACAGCTTAAAGATGAGAAGAAATGGCCAAAATTCTTTGTTGAAATAGTTGAGAAGAAATGGGAGAGCGACAGAGAGAGGGAGAGGGAGAGGGGGAGGGGGAGAGAGACAGAGAGAGGAGTTATGTAGTGGCATGTCCCAATTGCACTGCATTTTATGAACCACCAGATGGCACTCCAAGACTGTGTCATTGACTCAGCTCAGCACTTTGAGCTCCCATTGACTTGTATTGCAAAAAATAAAGCTCAATCAATTAAAAAGTATAAATTTTATAAAAAAAAGGTTGAGTACAAGGAGGGATGTTCCTGAAGAGTTGAACAGATGAAGACCTCAAGATTTTCAGAATAAAGCTAAATATTTCAAGAGTATGAAGTTTTGAAAAATTCTGAATAGAAGCATGAATGTCCTTGAAGAGCTGAACATTTTGATAGCTGAAAGTATGATGAAGTAGAATTTTCCCATTCATTTGAATGGGGCAAGATTTTCAAAATAAAGCTAAATATTTAAAATGTATGAAGATTTGAAAAGTTCTAAATAGTAGTATGAATGTCCTTGAAGAGCTGAACATTTTAATAGCTGAAAGTATGCTGAAGTAGAATTTTCCCA